TCCATGGTAGACAGGAAACTGAAGCAGATCATGTGACTTACCCAGCATCGTGCAGCTACTCTGACTCCTAGGCTATTGCTTCTTCTACAGTCATTTCTCCTTTCCTATTAACTCCTATGCCCAGGGCCCCCAAGGAAGTGCTCATGTAGATCCTGCCATTCCGGCACCATTGATCCAATTGTTAACACTTTCACTAATGGTGATTTCCACCAAGAGAAGCTCAGCTCAGTCTCTCTACCACCCTTCATTCACTCATTCACAGGTCAGTTAGAGGAGGCCCACCCTGGCCTAGTCATGGCAGGATGTCCTAGGCCAGTGATGGCGAACCTTTTGAGCTTGGCGTGTCAGCATTTTGAAAAACCCTAACTTAACTCTGGTGCCATGTCACATATAGAAATTTTTTGATATTTGCAACCATAATAAAACAAAGACTTATATTTTTTTATTTATTTTATATATTTAAATGCCATTTAACAAAGAAAAATCAACCAAAAAAAATGAGTTCGCGTGTCACCTCTGACACGCGTGTCATAGGTTCGCCATCACTGTCCTAGACAAAGCTTTATCCAAGAGAAGTTAGCCAGGTTTGAGGACCAGGGAGGGCAGCATCCAGGCAGAGAACAGCAGCAGGTACAAAAGTGTAGAGAGAATGTGATGTACTTGGGAAGAATGAGTATTTTGATGGGAAAATCAAGCTGGAGAGATGGGAAGGGGACAACAAAAACTTTCGAATAGTAAATAATTACACACCTGGCCTACCCTGACCACCTTGTTTAAAATGGCAACTACTTTACTTCTTGATTTTCCATAACACCATCTTCTAACCTACTGTGTACTCATTTTCTCTGTCTAGTGTTTATTGTATTATCTCCCCCCCCCCCTACTCAAATGTAAGCTTCCTGAGGGCTTGGGTTTGTTGGCCAATGTATCCCCAGCACCTAGAATGGTACCAGGTAGGCACTCAGCAAGTATTTGTTGCATCACTGAATCTATGCCAGACTTTAGCAGACTCTGGGCTTTAGAATAAAAAGTCCCATCTCTCAAAAGGGTCAGTTTCATGTCCACAGGGTTACAATACGGTATAAAAGAGAATAAAATGAGGAGGGCATCCCTGAGCTGTTCGGGCAATAGGGTGAGTCCTGAGCTGTCTTCTCCCATGGAAGAGGAGGAAATGGGAATGTGCTGGGCAGCCTGTGCTACCATTTCCTAACCCAGCCCGTGCCTCCCCAGCTGTCCATGCTGTTCACCGAGGAGTGCGACAAGGTGCGGGACCTGATGCACGTGCACTCGTTCAGCTATGACTTCCACCTGCGCCTCGTGCACCAGCACGTGCTGGGCGCCCACCTGGTGCTGCGGCACGGCTACCACCTCACCACCTTCCTGAGGCACTTCCTGGCCCACCACCCTGATGGGCCCCACTTTGGTCGCAATCACATTTACCAAGGTTGGTTGATGCCCAAGGGCAAGCCAGTGAAGCTGAAAAAGAACAGGCCACAAAGGTGTGGGCCGACGGGATCACTTCCTAGGGCCAGACTTCGACTTTCTATCCCATGTTGTTAGTTGCCTCATATCGCTTGGACCCTGCCCCCACGTCTCTGTCTTAACTTCGTCACAGTCTGTTTCATATCAAAGTTTAGATCCTATGTTGTATACCCTGCCCTGCCTGTCCTGAGCCACTCTGTCCCATCTTGATGTTCTACAGGACCTTAGGAGCTCCCCAGAAACGCAGGGCCAGCCTGCTTGTCAATCAGAGCCTTAGGACCTCCTAATCCCCCAGCCCATCCGATCAGTGTGTCTATCCCAGGCTCACTGTCTCCTGTAACTTGCCCCTTAGGGACCCTGGAGCTCCCCACACCGCTCATTGCTGCCCACCAGCTGTACAACTACGTGGCTGACCATGCCAGCTCCTACCACATGAAGCCACTGCGGATGGCTCGGCCAGGGGGCCCAGAACATAATGAATACGCCCTGGTGTCAGCATGGCACAGGTATGGAGGAGAGGGGACACCAGCACGTTCTCTGGTGGAGCTGCGGTCAGGACCATCCTTACAGTTGGGAGACCTGTGTTTTCTTGGGCAGAAGGGGTGAGGTTGACTTCATTAGGACCTCAGGCTGACATCTCATCCCCACTGCACAGCTCCGGCTCCTACCTGGACTCTGAGGGGCTTCGTCATCAGGATGACTTTGATGTGTCTCTGCTTGTCTGTCACTGTGCTGCACCCTTTGAGGAGCAAGGAGAGGCTGAGCGGCATATTCTGCGGTCAGCAGATCCCCTACCTTGAATGTGCCCATTGTCCAGCCTGCCCCCTGCCCTTTCCCTGTTTCCTGCTGTAACCGCCACTCTGGCCCCTTCCCCATTCCAGGCTGAAGTTCTTCGTGGTGCTCACCAGCCAACGAGAGCTCTTTCCCAGACTAACTGCTGACATGCGCAGGTTCCGGAAGCCACCCAGACTTCCCCCTGAGCCAGAGGCTCCTGGGAGCTCCGCTGGTAGCCCTAGGGAGGCCTCAGGGGTTGGTCCGGTGCCTGGCCCAGCTCCTCTGTTCCCTCCGCTGGCTACAGAGGTGGGCGTGGCACGGGCACAACTGGCTCAGCTGGTACGGCTAGCTGGAGGGCACTGCCGCAGGGACACCCTCTGGAAGCGCCTCTTCTTGCTGGAGCCACCAGGGCCTGATCGGCTGCGGCTAGGGGGGCGCTTGGCCCTGGCTGAGCTGGAGGAGCTCCTAGAGGCGGTCCATGCCAAATCCATTGCGGACATTGACCCCCAGCTGGTAAGGAACTGTGGGTTCCAGAGGGGCTGGGATGGACGTTAGGAATTCCATGGGCAGCCAGGGTGGAGGGTGCAGGGTGGCTCTGGGACAGTAGGTCCAGGCCTGTGGACCTCCCCCAGGACTGCTTCCTGTCCATGACGGTCTCCTGGTACCAGAGCCTGATCAAGGTTCTCCTGAGCCGCTTTCCCCAGAGCTGCCGCCACTTCCAGAGCCCAGACTTGGGAACGCAGTACCTGGTGAGTCTCCTTGACCCGCCTCAAAAACAAACCGTCCTTGGCTAGAGATCCTCAGGGCCAAGTTCTGGAACCTTATCGGTGGTTGGTCTTAGAGGCTGCAGTCCCAGAAAGGACCTCTTGGGCTTTAAGCCGTCTTATTCTCCCCAAAGTGGGGCCCTCACACCAGCAGCACCAGCAACACCTGGGAGCTTGCCAAAATGCACTCGGGACCCACTTCAGACCCCTGACTGAGAATCCGCCTCTCAGCCAGATCCCCAGGGAACTGTGTGCACTGAAGCTGAGAGCACTGCCAGGGAGGCCAGGGAGAGAGGAGCTGTGGTGATAGGCGCACATACAGGGGGAGTAAAAGGTTAGAGATGAGCCAATGAGAGCAGTGGTCCAGGAAAGGACACTTAAGACTTCACAAGAAAAAGTAGGAGTTGGTTCGTGGTGATGGGTCCTGCAACCTGGTACCTGTGGGGAAGATTAGTTTCAAGGTGTTCTGAAGGGACATCGGGATTGGCACTCAGGAGAGAGATCTGGGCAGCATCTGTATGGACAGGGTCCCTGCAGCCCTGAGAGTGGAAGAGATTGCCCAGGGACCGACAGACAGGAGGGGACAGTCCAGGGCAGTCAGAGAGATAAAACCTGGGATAGCACAGGAGGCAAGGAGGGGCCTGTCAAGGGTAGAGAACTCCCCGTGGTGGTTGGGCTGCGGTGCCAGCTCTGTGCAGCGCCTCCAGATAGATGACTTCAGGATCCTCCCAGTCAAGCCCCCTCCCCCTCACTCTGATGAGGCTAGACAGGCTGACCAGGGCCAGTGAGGATGAGGACTGAGATTGCGTTGAAGGTGAGGTTCTAGGTGACGGTGGAGTGAGTGCAGGTGGGTTCGGGTGTGGTGATGGAAGCAGCCCTTCTTCAGACTGGTCCCCCTACGTCCAGGAGGCCCTCAGGAGGGTCTGTGCTCCCTCAGGTGAGACAAACCTCCCTCCCCATCTCATTTTGTCTTCTGCTGCAGGTTGTGTTAAATCAGAAGTTCACTGACTGTTTTGTGCTAGTGTTTCTGGATTCCCACTTGGGAAAGACGGTGAGAACAGGGGGTGTGGGACTCTGTGTCAGCCTGGTGGGAAGCTGTACCCCAAATACTGCACCCGAGCCTGCTGAGGTTGGGATGCCTACCTGCCCTTCTCTCACCAGTGGACCCCCACTGTGTTCCCCAGTCTCTGACAGTGGTTTTCCGAGAGCCCTTCCCAGTACAGCCCCAGGACAGCGAGAGCCCCCCTGCCCAGCTGGTCTCGACCTACCATCACCTTGAGTCTGTCATCAACACAGCCTGTTTCACCCTCTGGACCCGTCTCCTCTGAGGAATGGACCGCTGAATGTCACTGTTCCTCAAATCATGATCTATAAGATTACCCACTTGAAGCAGGACTGACCAGCCCTGTGTGCCCCAGCACAAGCCTGGACACTGAGGGACACCAACAGCTTTGTGCATCTCTCTGCGGGGTCTGCAGCCCCAGCCTGGCAGCAGGGACTACCCTCCCTAAACACTCACAGGGCTCTAGCAGGTCAGGTCACCTCCCTGAGGTTCTCATCTCTCAGGCTCCTTCCTGCTCACCTGGTGGAGTCCAGGAATTCTTCACCAGGTGGCAAGCGCTCACCTGAGGGCTCCTCTGCCTGAATCCTCCAAGTCACCCACCTCCCACCTTGAGCTCTCTGGTCCTCGCTACCCACTGAGACATCACTGATGGACATTGCCATTGAGATAAGACACCTGGGCTCCAATCCCAGCTCTGTCTTTGAAGCACTTGAGCCTGAGCAAGTCCCTTTGCTTCCGACCCCTGGGGTCTCAAATGTACGTGAGGAGGTGGACTCAAAGCTCTCCCTTCTCCACAGCAACAGTGCAGACTGGAGGACTCAGACGTGAGCTGTGTCCCTTCCCAGCAGGAGGGAAGCGATCAGAGAAAGCGAAGGGTTAGACACTGTGTGTCCCAATAACATACATGTATGAAAACGTTCAGCAAGTTGTCTTTAATTCCAGAGGATACTCAGGATGCTCAATTCACTGTCCCAGAGAGGCAAGTGGGTGGACTGCAGGACCTCACTGGCCAGCCTGTGAGCGGCCCCGCCTATCCCAGTAGGAACGTAGCCAACTCAAGCCCTCCACTGTGTCTCCTGAGGGGAGAGTGGGGCAGCAGCATCTCAACCCATGAGGAGGAAAACAGCTCCTGTCCAATACCTGTCCCCCAGTTCTCCCGTTCCCAGGGCCAAGCCTGGAGCCTCAGCCCGCCCCTCACCTTGAGGCTGGTACTCGCAGCCTACAAAGCCGTTGTAGCCTTCGTCTTCCAGCAGTTGGAATAGATAGGAGAAGTTCAGCTCTCCAGGGCTGCCAGGGTCCCCCCGGCCCGGGACCTGTGCCACCTGCACATGCCCTGGGGACAGACATGGGCAGATGTGAGGCTCAGGCCTGAAGGACAGGTGTGTGTGTGGGGGGGGGGGGGCAGATTGGAAGAGTGGGAGAACAAAGGAGGCAGCACAGCAGATGAGGAAGGAGCAAAGAGAGGGACCCTCTCACCAACGATGGGCAGGAACTCGCGGATGTTTCCTGTCAGATTCCCATCCATGATCTGCCAGTGGAATATGTCCTGGGCAGAGATTACTACAGTCAGACGACTGCCTCAGGCCCCACCATGCTTCCCAGTTGGAGAGCTGAGAAGTCTCCTTTTCTTCAGGGCCAATTTTTAACGGGAGGTCGGAACTTCCAATATTTGATCAAATTCCGACCCCTTGATTTAAACGGGGGGGGGGGGGGGGGTGACACTCAAGGAGGGCACAAGAATCAAAGGGACAGGAGGCAGCACAGGGCGGGGGTCCTACCCTGCTGGGGCGAATCCAGGAAGTACTGGGGGTCGGTGATGCGGGTGTTGATGGGCTCCAGCAGTCCCACGAGTTTCTCCTAGCACCATGTCGGATCTGTGAATAGAGCTCTTCCCCCCAGGTTTGGCCTCTATCTTTGTCACTGACCAAGCCCCTCACCAGTCCCTCTCACCTCGGCCAGTGCCCAGCCTTATGCTGGGCTGCTCTCTGCACTGTGCACCCCCCTCCCTGCACTCGGACACGTTCGTGTAAGTATGTGCGTCTGTTTTCACTGTCATCTCACCCGAGCCAAAACCCCGGCTGCGTGCCTCAGGTTCTCCAGAAAAACTGTCTCCATTTCACCCCTGACTGCTGCTCGGTCAGCACCCCGGGGTACTCGGCCGGCCATCAGGTGAATCCTGTGGGGAAAATGGGACCGGAAGGGGCTGTGGAGTCCACCCCAGAGCAGGGCCTTTGCTCCCTCAGCTCCTCTTCCAGCTGCCCTCCTCCCATCCCCCAAAGGCCTCTGGTCCATACCACTTGGCCCTGATGCTCAGGCCTCAGACACACCTGTGTCGGCTTTGGCCACGCCTTTTCCCACAATCCTGAGGGTCAATCCTCCTGCCTCAGAGTCCAGTTCCTCACTTAGCCCCTCCTGTGCTTTCAACCTCCTTTCCAGTGGCCCTTCTCGGCCTTGAAACATGCTGAAGTCTCCCTTTTTAGACATTTTGACCCAAACCCTTCTTGAGAATTCCATGCTGCTTTATCTCTATTTCCTGAATGTTTCTTAGCTTCTTCTCGTCTGATTTCTGACCCCACCCCACCCCTACCAATAGCGACCCCTTACTGCCAGTTCCTTCTCAGCCTATTTAGACCCGCAGGATTTGACATTTGATCAGCCCCACTTAGAGCCTTCCACCTCCCATCACCACCTGATCTTCCTCAGCCACATCCAGCCTCTTGAACTTTGCTGAACACACCAGGCCGCCTCTTGCCTCTGGCCACAGCATCCCTGCCTGGAATGCTCCTACATCAAGCAAATGCCCACTCCTTAGGACCCAGTTCAACATCACACCTGCAGGAAGCTTCCTCTAATCCCAGACGGGTGCCTACTCTGCTCCCACTGCCTCCGCCTCCGTGCATTGACCTGTTCTCAAATGTATCTCTCCTCCGTGTGCTGTTTACTTTGCTATCTCCCAGGTCGGACTGAGCTCTAGCATGGGATCCCAGCAGGGGAGAGCATGAAAGAGTTGCCAACTGAGATGACACACAACAAATATGAAAGGCATTTACAAGCACTAGGACTGCAGGAGTGTAGAAGCGCCAGCGCGCTCAGACTTCTGAGCCTCTCTCACAACCTGGCGTCCTCATCCCCCACCCCCAAACACGTGCGGTAGGGTCTTGGGTCTTAGAAGGGGAAGAGGAAAGGGCAGGATACCTGGGACAGCCCAGAGCCTTAGCGTACAGCACCGCCTGCTCCAGCCCCTCGCGGAAGGCCGCCTGCCTCCCGGGAACGGCCCCCAGCCCCATTTCCCCCTTCTCTCGGTCCCCTGCAGAGAGAACGGACCTCAGCGCCCGGCTCAGGCGCCCGGCCCCCACCTCCCGGGCCCGGGCCCCAGGGCGCACCCGGAGGCGTGTTGATCAGCACCAGCTGCAGCCCCGCTTCTTGCGCCGCGCGCGCCAGCGCCTCCGGCGGCTCCGTGTACGGCCAGGCGACCTCGGCGGCCTCAAAGCCCGAGCTGCCCGCTGCCCGCAAACGTGCGGGGAGGCCGGGGAGCTCGGGGAAGAGCCAGGACACATTGGCCGAGAAGCGCAGCGGAGCCATGACCGGCTGGGAGCGCGGGGCAGAGTCCGCGGGGCCGGAAGGCGGAAGCGCGTGGGGCGCTGGCGAGGGCGCGTCCGGAGCTCGCGGAGGTGCACTGCCCCGGCCGACCGACAGGGGGCGCGCTGGAGCCGCGAGTCAGGGTCGTGAGCTCTGTGGGCAGTTTTTGGTAAGAAAGCAATGTGTTGTAAAAACCGTGGACAGTACAGAAAAGTGAAATATTTCAAAATAGGAGAAAGGGAAGCGCAGGGAGAGGAGAGAGGGCCGAGCGAGGGCAGCGCGGCCAGGAGGCAGGCAGAGAGAAGGTGGGGTGCCCAGTGGCCCTTTGAGGTTGCAGTGGCAAGTAAGAAGCCAGCCAGCCTCCAAGGCCATTAAAATGAAGGAATGAGACTTTAGCGAACACTTACTAGTAAGTATTTTTCCTCATTGTAAAAATGGCACCTGTTCATTACAGAACATTTGAAAGCTTATAACCAAGTAAGAACATTTAAACCACCAGTTATCACACCAATCACCCATTAACTTTCCCTTACAGATTAAAAAAATTAAAGTGCAGTTTTTTCTTAGAAAATTTTGATCATACTTTACATGTGGTTTTATAGTCTGCTTTTCATTTAATATTATTATTATTTTAAATCTTCACCGGAGAAGTAAGGATATTTTTCCCATTGAATTTCAGAGAGATTGGAAGTGAGGGGGGAGTGGGAGACGGAGACAGGAGAAAAACATCAATGTGAGGGAGACACATCAATTGGTTGCCTCCCACACGTGCCCCAACTGGGAGCAGGGATCAAACTTGCAACCCAGTTATGTGCCCTTAACTGGGAATCAAACTGGGACCCTTCCAGGTGCAGGCCGAGGCTCTAACCACTGAGAATGCTGGCCAGCGTGTCATTTAATATTATTTTGTGAGCATTTGTCATGCCATAAAATAAAATTCATCTTAGTAAATTTGAAGAACTAATTGGCTTTATTAAACAATTCATGGATCAGGCAACATCTCATCTAGCAAGGAGAGACCCACAGGAGTGACACAAGATGAAAGACTTTTTTAGAAAGGAGGGTGGGGCAAGGAAGTGTTGACCCTGAGAAAAATATACTTGCCAAAAAGGACTCATCGTAATTGGGCTCAAATTCATAACCAGAGTCTAGTAGTCACTGTTTCTACTGCATTTCAGGGAAAACCACACACCCCACTGCCAAGCATTGGTTGACTCTCAGCTGAGTCAACCCCTATAAAAGAGCTTCTAGGATCAAACTCAACCAATAGAACTGAGATTTCCCCCATCCAATCTTCACTAACCAATTAGAGGGGCTCCATTCCATCCAATCAAGACAGTACTCTTGGGACCAATCAAACTGTGATGATTTGGAGTCCTCATTTTCATGAGAAGAACCAATCCCGGACTGAGGTGGGAACTCTTCTCTTTATAAGCCAGCTTCCCCCTGTCTCCATTGAGCGCACTACCAGTTTCCACTGAAGACTACGCCTTCCCCTGCTGAAATGCAACCCAGGATTGTAACACCAAGGCAGGCTCGCAGTCATGCTGTTTCATGACTGAGCTGTCACCGAGTTCTTTCACAATTGAGCTGTTTTCATTGAATAAAGCCTCTCCCTTCACCACACCCCAAATTGGAAACCCCTGTTGGCATTAATGACAACCTTCTGTTGACAAAAGTCATTAGCAGAAGAAAAATGAAAGTTTATTGGAGGAAAGTACAAGTTCAGGGTAACCATGAATTATTGGCTGAGTTGTAGTGTTTTCCATTGGCTGGGTTTGTTGCTGGGCGAGAAGAAAATCTTCCTCCTTCGTGGGTGGTAGATACAGCTTCCTCTTGGAGACACAGGTATGTCTTTTCCTGTTTGGGATAATTGATGAGGAGTGGTAGTGGGTGAGAGCCTCCTCTCCACACAAGTTTTAGCTGAGGTTTCCTTCATTTTCATGCCTGTGTTCTTCAATGGTCTTCAAAAGCATTGCATTAGCTGCTCATTGTTCCACGCCCAGACAGCCCGGAATTTATCATACTACTCTGTTGATGAACATTAGGGTTTTTCGATGTGTGTGTGCACACTGTAAAAGCACTTTAATGCATCTCTCAGTCCCATCTCTGAATTGTTTTCTTGGGTTCCTTGTGTACAGATGCTCATTACAGTGTTTGCCTGCCCAAAGTACTTTACAGTTCTGTGCACATAAAGTTGTTTAGGTCAACAAGGAACCACATATATGACAGTGGTCCCATCCTATATAATAAAAGGCTACTATGCAAATTGACCGAATGGCTGAACAACCGGTCGCTATGACATGCGCTGACCACCAGGGGTCGCGTGCGGAACATGGTGGGCATTGGCAATGGGCGGCAGAGCATGGAACATGCAGGTGGCAGTCGCGGTGGGATGGTGGAGCAGGTGAGCAGGGGTGCCAGACCAAGGCGGGGCGCAGGTCACTGTCATCTGTGAGCCTCTGGTGGTTACTGAAAATTCTTTGCTCCTGCGTGCCACAGTCCTGCCCAGTGCTCACACCTGCTGCTGGTGCTGGCCCCAATCGCTCTGTGCAGTCAGTGGGTAAGATCAGGGCCAGTGCCGTCAGCACTTGGGACCAGGGCCAGCAGTGGGAGCAGGGCTGCCAGCAGACAGGGGACAGAGTGCTGCCACGTGAGGGTCTGGGCAGAGGCACAGAGGATGGGCCAAGACCCACCCTTGTGCCCATGCAGCCTCACGGCCCACAGTTCCTTTCAAGGTGCATGAATTCGTGCACTGGGCCCCTAGTAAGAGTATAATGGACTATAGGCAAAAAGTTAGTTTGTGATGTTGAAAGAAAGTGCTGGACCCAACTATAATGTTGAAGTTACTACTAGCTCTCTGTGATATGAGGAGGATCAGCATGCTGTCCACCCACCATGTGCCTTCCTGATGCTGGGGCAGGCAGTTGGCAAGGGAGTAAGTAGGGAGGGCTAAGGAGGAGGGGGAGCTGGGAGCCTGCAGCCCATCCACACTTGTTCACACCATCCCTGCACTCACACACACAAACACTTGTGTGCACAAACTCCCCTCCCTCCATTTCTCTTTCTCTCTCCTTCCTCCCAGTATGAGTCCTTTTCGCCCTGCCTCTACTCTCCCTCTCTGATTGGGCAGATTCCTAAGGTTGGAATTACATGGTCAAAAAATAGTAATACGTTTAAATTCTTCATGGCTGAGCTAAATTGCATTTCAAAAATGCTGTACATTTATTCCCCAACAATACATGAGTAGAAATCATCTTGTCTATTTTCTGTGCTAGCTTTGACAGAAGGAAGCTCAAAGTGCAACATTAGGAACACCCAACACCCAGCCTCCAAACCAAGGCAGGCCCAGGCTGATCTCAAAGTGGTTGGCAGTTTCCATTTCAGTTCTGCCTGTAAGAACAGGCTGCCACCAGCTATTACAGATCACCTGACTTCTTGCCCGTTTGCAGCTGGCATTATACTTGGCACTTTGACTTGTCCTGGAACATGTTTCTTGGGTGTGGTCCAATCAGGATGTGACCTCACCGAGCCTAACAATTTAATCAATCCGAACTTCAGCACGTTTACAATCCAATGTTGACCAAACAGAGGAACATCTAAAGGAAGTAATTTCTTTATTAATCCTTCACTGTAAATCTCTGAGCATGAAAATTCTAAGACTTTAGAAAAGCACCATCATCTGCTGGGGTTTGTAACAGGAACAAAATTTGTCCCATTCTCAGTGGTCCACTCCTTCTTTACTGTATACCCTTTAGGGCAGCAGAGATGGTATCTGAACTAGATAGGCATGACTCACTTTCCCCCTTAATTCCCTTAAAAACATTTTCACTTAATATACCAAAATAAATACAAAAGGAGAACAATGCACATGAAAATTATTTTCTTTATTCATCGTTTGACTATTTATACCTTATACCACTTTGTAACGTAGGCATTACACTAAATTATTATTACAAATCTTCTTTTAAAAAATATATATTTTATTGATTTTTTTACAGAGAGGAAGGGAGAAAGATAGAGTTAGAAACATCAATGAGAGAGAAACATCAATCAGCCGCCTCCTGCACACCCCCGACTGGGAATGTGCCCGCAACCAAGGTACATGCCCTTGACCAGAATCGAACCTGAGACCCTTCAGTCCACAGGCCGATGCTCTATCCACTGAGCCAAACCAGTCAGGGCTATTATTACAAATCTTGATTCTTTGCAGTTAACTCCTAACCAAAGAATTTGCACAGGTATGACAATTAGTTAAGGTAGCAATAATTTGTAAATAGTTACATGGATAATGGCTAAACTTTGCGTGTACAACTGAGTCTCATTTGATCATTGGATTGCACCTGCCAATGTGGTAAAAAAAAATATTATAACCCAAATGAAAAGGAAATAAAAATCTCAATGAAATTCCATTTTATACCTCCCAGATTGGCAAACATTTAAAAGACAGACAATTTCAAATATTGGGTAAGGTTGGAAACAACTAGAACATTTATTTATTGGAGAGAGGAGTATAAATCACTTCAACCACTTTGGAAAACAATGTACATTGTCTCTTAAAGCTGGACATTCATATGCCCTTGATCAGCAGTTCCTCTCCTCGGTGCATTCCCTGGATACACTTTTGCACAAGTATATCAGGAAATAAGTTCAGTGATGTTCATTGCAGCACTATTTATGTAGCAAAAATATGGAACTAACCCAAACCATATATAGATGACTTGTGGCATAGCCATACATTGTTGTTTATAAAAGTGAAGAGACAGCTGGTGGCTCAAAGGATAAAATTGAGTTTGCTTTGTATTAAAGTAATATACGAAGAGCTTAGTGAAGCTTCGGCCAAATTGAAAATATCGGTGTGAACACATCAAATGGATAAATCTCAGAAGCATAATCTTGAATGAAAGAAGCAAATCACAGAGAAATATATACAGTATGATTCCATTTCTATTCAGTCAAGCAAAGAAAACCAAACAATATTTTGTGTTAGACACATACATCTGTAAAACTATGAAAAAGAGCAGGTGAATAATGGTCACATAATTCAGGATGATGGTGACCTCTGCAGGGGGAGGGATGGGGGTGAACATTGGAAACTTCAAAAGTACTGATCATCCCCTTTCTCTTACACTGGATGG